CTTCCTCCTCTATCTCTCCTCCTCCTCCTCCTCCTTCTGCTTCTCCTCCTCCTCCCTGCAACCTCTTCTGTCTTCTAGGACTGATGATGGTACCTAATAAGGTCATGAAACATCTACAAGAAAGCCCCTCTGCCCAGAGGAGCTCAGAGTCATCCTCCTACTCTCCTCCTTCTCTTCTCCTCCTCTTCCTCCTCCTCCCCCTCTCCTCCATCTCTTCTCCTCCCCCTCATCTTCCTCCTCCATCTCTTCTCCTCCTCCTCCTGCTTCTCTTCCTCCTTCTGCTTCTCCTCCTCCTTCTCCTCCTCTCTGCAAACTCTTCTGTCTTCTAGGACTAATGATGGTACCTTGTTTGGGTCATGAAACAACTGCAAGAAAACAGCCAACTTCAAAGGCCCTGCAGTCCTTTCCCCTCCTCCTCCACTCCACAAGCCCATCCCTTCTAGTAATACTGACGATGTTACCTAGTTTGGCAATGAAACTGTCTGCAAGAAAATGTCTAAGCTGAGAGAGTACCAAGGACGCCACCGTGGCCTTATCCCTTCGTGCAGTATTTGAAAACTGTTGTTTACTGAACAAGCCTTCTCCAAACCCCCAAGAGAGCCCCTCTTTCCAGAGGCAGGCAAAGAGCATATTGTACACAACTTTTTTGTGTGCACAGTATTGTTGATCCAGCAGGTAATTGGATCAACATTTTATTTCGCAGGGACCGAATGACCCACAATGACATCATTGGCACCAGCTACCTCTGCATGTCCAAAATCTCCGCTCCGGGAGGAGAACTGGAAGGTGAGCAGGTTCAGAGGGCCCTGATCCCCAGGCTGACTTAGTGTTGTGGCCCGCCAGCTGACAGCAGAGCTGGCGGCAGACTTGGACATTGAGGAGGTTAGGGAGGAACATGGGCCAGTCCTGGAGTCTGGGGAAGGCTCTGATAGATACTCTGTGTCAGAAGCAGAGATAGGGTCAGCGCCGTCCGACATTTATCAGATGCTTTCGGAGTCAGAGATAAGTGGGGAAGAAGAACAGCTGGAGCCTGTTCCCAGTGTGCGCATGCACAGAGCTGTCAGGAGAGGAAAACAACTGAGGAACAGGGGCCGACTTGGGAAGAGGGGCACATGTGGACACTGAATGGCTCCTCCCTGGGGAATAAATAGAAGCAAAAGGGGAGTGGTGGTTGCAGGAGACAATAGTTCATTTTTCTTTAGGGAGATTTGATTATTGTGGTGGTTTGTGCCTCACAGAGACTCCTTGCCAAGTATTTAATTTACAGCTTTGCAACTGGAAGCTGTCCGCCTGGCAATTATCCAAGGATTGATAAGGTCTATTCTTGCAATTATTGCCCAACCATGAATTCACAGTAACTAAATAAAGAGAGTGTCATGCCCTTGTTAGAGTCAGACTCATAGGGAATGGAGGCTCTAGAGGTTATGGAGAAGGCTGGAGAAGGGCAGAGGCTGGCTGGGCAGTCAGAGCAAGAACCAGGCCCATCCCCTCTCCATCCTAGGACATTCAGGGAGGAATGGAGAAGGGAGCAACTTGGCTTACAACAGAGGAAGCGGCCATGATCCCCCTCATTGGTTGCAGCTGGGGAGAATAGTATATAAGAGGGATGGTTAAAACACAGCATTAAAGAAGCAAAGCGTGTTTTATTGGCCAAGTGTGATTGGACACCCAAGGAATTTGTCTTGGTGCAAATGCTCTCAGTGTACATAAAAGAAAAGATACATTCGTCAAGAATCATAAGGTACAACACTTAATAATACTTATAGGGAACAGTTAATAGAATAAGAATAAGAATAAGAATAGAATAGAATAGAATAGAATAGAATGAAGAGTGGACTGGACTAGACTAGACTAGAACAGAACAGAACAGAACAGAACAGAACAGAATAGAATAGAATAGAATAGAATAGAATAGAATTCTTTATTGGCCAAGTGTGATTGGACACACAAGGAATTTGTCTTGGTGCAAATGCTCTCAGTGTACATAAAAGAAAACATACATTTGTCAAGAGTCATAAGGTACAACACTTAATAATAGTTATAGGGTACAAATAAGCAATCAAATACTAGGAAAGAGTCAATAAAAATCATTAGGATACAAGCAACAAGGTTACAGTCATACAGTCACAAGTGGGAGGGGATGGGTGATAAGGAGTGATGAGAAGATTAATAGCAATAGTAGTGCAGACTTTGTAAATAGTTGGACAGTGTTGAGGGAATTATTTGTTATTAGCAGAGTGATGGCGTTTGGGGGAAAAACTGTCCTTGTGTCTAGTTGTTCTGGTGTGCAGTGCTCTATATAGTGTCATTTTGAGGGTAGGAGTTGAAACCGTTTATGTCCAGGATGTGAGGGGTCTGTAAATATTTTCACAGCCCTCTTTTTGACTCGTGCAGGATACAGGTCCTCCATGGAAGGCAGGTTGGTAGTAATTGTTTTTTCCACAGTCCTAATTACTCTCTGAAGTCTGTTTCTGTCCTGTTGGGTTGCAGAACCAAACCAGACAGTGCAGATAACAACTGTTGGTCCAGAATGGTATAGGGTTTCTTGCTTGAGCAGCGGGTTGGACTAGAAGACCTCCAAGGTCCCTTCTAACTCTGTCGTTCTATTAAAAAGCCACCTCTTCATTTTTACCCCTTATCTCTCAGATGGTCTCGGCTGCCCTCTTCTTTAGCAGAAGCCGTGATGATATACTACCCAAAAGGACTTCACTTTTTCACTTTTCCCACTCTTTCTTTCTGCTTCAGATGAGTTTCCCGTCACCACAAAACTCTTCAAAGCAACAGAGAGTATGTCCTTAGCATGACTCTTCCCCTCCCCCCTCTCCACCTCCTGAGTGTGTTTCTGAAATGAATTTAAAATCATTTTGTAATCCAAATTCCAATGCACGATGCACATGACATCAGTTGGGGAAGGCATGTGATTCCCTTGGGATGATGATCATCAACCTTGCTTTGGTCTCTAATCCCAGTTTAAATCCTCGCTGGATGTGATTGTGCATGTCTGTGAAAGAGGGGAGATTTAGGGGTTAATCTTTCTGGAGGGGGCTGCCATCTCTCCTGCACAAAGTGTCTCAGCTTTGATGATTTGAAGATGGGTGGACTTCAACTCCCAGAATTCCCCAGCCAGCCTTGAAGTTCTCTCAATCTCGGCAGGTGGACTTCAACTCCCAAAATTCCCCAGCCAGCTTTGCTGGGAGTTGAAGTCCACCCATCTTCCACTTGCCAAGGTTGAGAAAGGACCTTTGTGGACCAGGAAGGACCTTTGTGCAAATGCAGCATGCCAAAAATGCTAAATCTGGGCAGTTGACTGCAAATTCATCTGGTTTTGGTGAATGTATCTCCAAACCATGAGTATAGCCATTGAGTTTCCCTACTTGAGTGGCCTTCTGATGGTGGACACCAAGCTTGGATTGCTAGGAACCTAGAAGGCAGGGATCATTGTATGGATGGGACCTCATAACCGAGTAAAGATGGCGAGCATGTCCATTCTCACCCTTGTTTAATATCATGAATTGAAAAAAAAAATGCAAGGATTTCTTCTCACTTCTACTGTTTTCAAAGGACTCAGAAACCTCCTGTTTCTGATTGGGCCACCGGTAGAAGAATATTTGGGTGGACCAGTGGTGGGATTCAACATTTTTTGCTACCAGTTCTGTGGCGTGGCTTGGTGGGCGTGGCATGGCATGGCGTGGCAGGGAAAGGATACTGCAAAATCCACCCACCTCTGACCTGCTTCCCAGCTCCGTTCTCCTGTGCAGGTCAACCAAAGCAGACCCAGCTGATCAGCTGGGACTCAGGAGGCAGGGAAGAGATGGGGTTGGCGGGGCCAGTCAGAGGTGGGATTTTGCCGGTTCTCCGAATTACTCAAAATTTCCGCTACCGGTTCTCCAGAACTGATCAGAACCTGCTGAATACCCACCTCTGGACTCTAAAATTGGTTATTTCAGGTAGACGATTATCTCCATAGTTCTACTTCCGTGGGTTTCTTTCCACAGTTGACGATGGACTTGGCTTCCTGCCCACCTTTGGGCCATGCTACGTCAACCTCTACGGGAGTCCGAGGGAGTTCACCGGATTTCCTGACCCTTATGAAGAGCTCAACAGTGGCAAGGTGAGACAGCTCTTCTGAATTAACTGGCGTGCCACCCTGGAGAAGCAGTTGGGTTCATCCAGATGGCCAAGTTGGGAGCAAGAGCTGGCTTGTGAAGGGGAGGGGGCAACCTTCTCATGGGCTCATTCTTATATGTCCCAAGGGAGAAGGAGTGGCTTATCGTGGCAGACTGCTGGTGGAACTGGAGACCAAGCTGGTAGACCACGTTGAACAGAAGTTGGGGGACATCCCTGCGGATGACATCCTGAGAGTGGAGGTAAAGTTTTCGTGCTCCACATAAGGCCATGGCCATTAATGTCTTCATCTTTTCAGTGAAGTGGGGGTATAACCTCAAGTGATCATCCAGGGCTGGGGTCTCCAAATTTGACCACTTTAAGACTGGTGGACTTCAACTCCCAGAATTCCCCAGCCAGCTATGCCCTTGTTGACTTTAAGACTGGTGGACTTCAACTCCCAGAATTCCCCAGCCAGCTATGCCCTTGTTGACTTTGAGATTGATGGACTTCAACTCCCAGAATTCCCCAGCCAGCTATGCCCTTGGTAACTTTAAGGTTGGGGAACTTCAACTCCCAGTATTCCCCAGCCGGCTATGCTCTTAGCAAAGCTGGCTGAGGAATTCTGGGAATTGAAGTCCACCAGTCTTAAAGTGGACAAGGTTGGAGAGCCCTTCTGTTAGGAGATGACGAGGCTGAAACTGGTGGAGTCAAATGCATCATCAGTTTGGAGTCTCTACACCCCCCATAGCTTAAGTCCAGCCTGCCTTGAAGCCAATTGATTCTACTCTGGCGCCAATTTGGCTTGACCGTTAGTAGATCAGATTCTTGTGTTTAGCAAGCGTGAAATAAACTCGTAGTACTTTTTAAGCCTATCCTAGTTCCTGGCTTCTTGCATCTGTCATTACTCCACCCCCCCTGGACTTCTGGAAGAGCCCTGATGGGGACCTGCTACATTGGGGGTGGCTGATGTGTTGGTTAGAGAGAAGATCCCAGCCTCCCAAGCTGCCCATCGTTTTTCGTTTTTAAATTTTAACATTTTAAGCAGTCCCTCAACAAACTGTTGTAAGTTGAGGATGACCTGTACAAATCCCACTAGTGGCTCTTAGTCCAGTTGAGAGTATCTAGAGTGGGCTTCTTCACGAATGACATTCCCCCTCCTGTTCTCTGGTCTTCTTCAGAAATACCTGCGTCGGCGGAAGTACAACCTTTTCGCCGCCTTCTACTCGGCCACCATGCTGCAGGGCGTGGGTGACGCCATCCAGTTTGAGGTCAGCATCGGCAACTATGGAAACAAATTTGACAACACCTGCCAGCCGCTGGCATCCACCACGCAGTTCAGCCGGGCGGTCTTTGATGGTAAGGAAAGAGTTGGGAGCAGGGATGGGCTGCTGGGGGTTCACAGGGGTCCGGGAGAGCCCCTAGCTAAGATTCTGCATAGTTCAGAGAACCCCCTCCCCCCAAAATCCCACTCCTGGCTGGCCCCGCCCACCCCACCACGCTCCTCCCAGAAGTCCCCACACAGCCCATTTTGGGTACAGGGAAGGGTAGGGTGAGCGCCGAGGCTCAGGGAAGGCAAATAACGGGCCTCCCGGAAGTTCGGGAAGGCCGGAAATGGGCCTGTTTCTGGCTTCCAGAGAGCCTCCGGAGCTGGGGGACGGCAAGAACGCCCCCCTCCAGGCTGCAGGAGGTTGACTAGGCTACATCCATCATGGCCACGCCCACCCAGCAAGCAGGCAGAGAACCCTTTGCTAAATTTTTTGAAGCCCACCCCTGGGTGGGAGGCATAGTCAGGTGAACCAGAGAGAGCAGAACCAGAGATCGAATCAGGGTGGGTCCCCGGGACCGGAGACTTACTCTGGAACGGGAGATCTTCTATCTTGCTACTCCTGAATGGGATGGCTTGCTTATCGTGACCTTTCCTTCTCAGCTAGGCCTTCTTCAAGGAAGGGAAGAATCTGAAAATCATCAAACTCTTGATCTATTCCTGGCAGCATTCCTAGATTGATAGGATGGGGGGCTTGGAAGGCGACTTGAAGATGGGTGGACTTCAGGGGTGGGATTCTACAGGTTCTCACCTATTCGCTAGAACCGGTTGTTAACATTCTAAGCAGTTCGGAGAACCGATTGTTAGAAGAAATTACTGGTCTAATCCTGTAAGGAAGGCAGGAAGGAAACATTCTGGTGTTGCTTACAGAAACTGCCTCTCCGTTAACCCTTATTACATTCTTGGCAGGACTAGACTTCCGGTCTCAGGAACGTCTCTGGAGTTTTTTTCCCCTCCTTCGCTGGTACTTTGCTTGTGTGGAGTGACCATTCAAAGTTACAATGGCACTGAAAAAAGTGACTTATGTCCATTTTTCACACTTACGACTGTTGCAGCATCCCCACAGTCATGAGAGATGCGTGCCTCGATGTGAGTGATATTGAGTTGGCTACACCCAGCCAATGACATGACCACCAAGCCATGTCCACCCAGTCACATGACCACCAAGCCACGCCCACCACCTAAGCCACGCCCACAGAACTGGTTGTTAAAAAATTTGAATCCCACCCCTGGCGGACTTCAACTCCCAGAGTTGCCTGGGCAGCTTTGAAGTCCATTCATCTTCAAGCTGCCAAGGTGGAGAAACATTGTCAGTGAAAGTGGCCATAATCACATGGTGACATGCTTAACTGACTCAATTCTCTCTATATAAAAGCGAAATACCCCTCACGCATCATCACAAAATCTCCCGAACCGTAAAGCCTACAAACTTGAAATTTGGCACCTGTGTTCCTCTTGGCTTCTAGCTGCTCAACAAGAAAGGATTTTTCGAAATGACCATCAGAGCATTAGTATTTTGCATATTATTATTAACACGCTCTGATGCTAAGGAGTTCTACTCCCCCTCCCCACCTGAAAAGAAATCTGTCCCAAAGGCAAAACACAAGCAGAGGAGAGGAGTTTCCATTTTAGTTTCACAGCAGCAACCAGCTTGAGTGCAGAAAAGTTGAGCTAAGCCACGTCCAGGCTCCTTGCTGTCTCCTTCTTGCTTACACAGCAAATACTGCTTCAGTTTCCAAACATTCCTCAATTCTTTCACACAGACAGGATGCTAGCCAGATGAATACTGATGGATGCTGGTAGGCAGAGGCACAATTTTGTCCCCTTGTTTTCCTCCCCAAAAACTAAGCCTGATCACATAGCGTTGTAGCAGAGCAGGGGTATAGAGCTAGTTCTATATATATTTGCATTTTTATATAATATTTTATTATATTTCTGTCTCTCTATCTCTGTCTCTACATCCATCTGTCCGTCTATCTATCTATCTATCTATCTATCTATCTATCTATCTATCTATCTATCTATCTATCTATCTATCTAT